TACCTTCTGTACCCTTCTTTAATGCTGCTCCCTTTTCCAGGCACCAATATGATTTGCACAATATAATTTTCCATAAGGTCTTCTTCAGTATAATTCCTTATACATCTACAATATGTTTGTCAATAATTAGCAGAGGTACTTATTTCCTGAGATATTAGCATCTAATGGAATCCTTCATAATTTATCCACATGAATTTCTAGTGGCGAAATTGAGGCACCACAAGAGGCGGGGGGCGAGGGGGAATAGAGGATCAGATATTTGGTGAGAGGAGGTACTCTTAGTAAATCTTTCAAATCTCTGACAGGCTTTGCTACCTCCAATTTCTGACTGGATAGCATTACAACACTTCTTGAACTTCCTTCTAAAGGAGACCAAAAATCTACTGATTCATAATATAAGAAGATTCATCAGCATTAACTTGCTTGGTTAACTCTTCTCAAAGCATTTTCATTTGTGACTAGAGGTTTCTAAAGTCAACCAAATTTCAACCATAAAGCAACTCTCAAGACTTTACAGCTAGGCTTGTTAGTTCAGATGGCTCATGTAGAATTTGTGCAGCTGACCCTTCCTTTTTAGAACTGATTTATTTTTCAGCAACAAATGTTGCAGAGAATATTTACATGTGAAATGTGCATTTCTCATTCATTTACATTATAAAGTTAGAAAAGAGAAACTCATAGGAAGTCAGTGATGTCTTCTGTACCCTTCCTGTCACTCAGACTATTAAACTCCTCTTAGCTTTACTTCCTCTTTCCCAATCTGAAGCCCATGATTGAACATTTAACTATTTTATGGCAGTATTCTCAAAATCCCCTACCACTTTTCTTTCTACTTCATTTGTTCTGATGATACCTAGACTTAGACTAATACAACAATTTGCTTTATCTCCTCCACCCAGGCTGCCAGACACTAGTAGAGCAAATCAAACCTGTATTTTGACTAAATTTTGGGATCTCCAAATTCAGCAACGTGCTTAAAAATCTTTTTATGTGTAATTAGACGGTACTGTCTTCCATTGGTCATACTGTCTGTCCCAAATATTCTCCACTCTCCTCAAGATCCTACCCTATTGCATTAGCAAATAACCTTTCCTCTAGTATGAACTACAAATTCTTTCAACTTCTTATCCCAGGCACATAAATTTATCTGTATACATTACCACTTTTTTCCTTCACTTCTCAAAGAAAAACATCTCTTTTTCCTTCACTTAAACTTCTAACTTAAGCTCCATTCTATCTCTATTCATTCATCCATTCAATACATATTTATTGAATATTTATTATGCTTATCTATGCTAGAAGCTGGTAGCACTGTAGTAAGCAAGGCAGATTTGCCCTGCCCTCTGGAAATTCCGTATACAGAAGATAAGAAAAGAAAATCAATAAATAAATGCTATGGAAGAAATACAGGTGACTATAAGACAGAGTAAGAAGAGGGCAGCTAAATTTCAATAGAGTAGTCAGAGGCTTCTATGGAGTCAATAGTTAAGCTAAGACCTAAATGAAATGGAGAAGCCAGCCAAAAAGGGATGAGGAGGGTAGAAGTAGTGCTACAACAACAAATCTGGAAGGAGTTTAACATCTTTTAAGGAAGTAAAAGCAGGCCAGTGGGGCTAGGTGAAGTGGGTGAGGAGATAGTGCTCTAGGCTATGGTAAAGATTTTAATTTTTTTTTCCTTAACTCATAGTAATCATTGAAGGATTTTAAACAAGAAATGAAAAGTGGGAATAGAGTCCAATTAGGAGACTTCAGCAATAATCCCAAAGAAAGATGATGGAAACTCAAGAACCGGGGGTGGCAACTGTGGACATATAAAGTTGGAGTTGATATATATTTTGGCAATACAATGGGTAAAAGCTGATGAGAGACGGGTTTTATTAATAGTCAGGGAGAGGGTGACTCTCGGATAACATTTATACTTCTGTGGCGAAGTAGGTGACGATGCCATTAACTAAGAGGGAAAATGCACAGGAACTGTTTAAGTGGGGTGAGGTGAAATCAAGATTTCCACTTCACACAGTTATGTGTAAGATGCCTGTGAGACATCCAGAGGAGATGTCGAGTAGCTGTTTGGATATACGAGTCTGAAACTGAGAGGAGAAATTTAACCAGAATATAAATTTGAAGATATAATATTTAAAGCTGTGGGCATAGATAAGATCATATAGTGAGTGACACAGTAGATAGAAGAAACAAAAACCAGGACCCAGCTCTGAGAATCCTGTTTAGAGATTGAGAAGAAAAAGGAAAAGCTGAGGAGACTGAAGGGGAAAAGCTGGTAAGTGATGGACGAAACCAGAGGTTGTAGTGTTTCCTGGGATAGAAAAAAGAGTGACTCAAGGAGGCAAGACTGGTCGAATGAGTCAATAGCTGCCACTCTACGGTTGATTAATGCCAGGAAAATAATCCTATCAATTCACTGACTCTCAACTTTCAGCTCTATTTGTACCTTCCCTGAAGCCCATAAATATGATTCTGTCCCTTCCTACTCAGGAGAGGGAGAGGGAATGGAGATGCCAAATTTTTCCTGCATCCCACCCAGCTATCCTCTTTTTTTTTCTAGATTTCCTCCAAAAATAGTCTACAAAATCATCTCTACTCTCATCCACCTTCTACTCTAAATTCATTGTACTCTATCCCACCCATTTCCTGCTTGGGGAACTTTAGTCTCATCACCTCTGGTCTTTGCCAGTCACCACTAGAAATGCTGAGAATTAGGCTCTCACATTAGAGATATTTTGCTTTGTGGGGAAAAAAAAAAAATCCAGAATTTAAAGTTTGTCTAGTACCGAAATTATTTTCAATTGCTGGAATTGTTGGTAGTTATGCAACTAAAGGCTATAATCTTTTACTTAATTCTTAGAAAGCCCTCATTTAATATTTTTCCTCTTTTTCTAATTATTTTTCTTTTCTATGATTGAGTTTTAATATTAGAATTCATAATTTGATGTCACCAATTAATACTTTTATGGTCTTCAATGTGTAAATTTCTACACTTCAAAGAAGCTCCAAATGTAGTAAAAAAATAATAAAAAGTATCCCCCTACTTTAATAATCTGTTAATTCAAAGTAAATCAACCTTTTGTTGACAGGCAGGGAGGACACTCACCCATTCAGAGAAATAATAGATGCGTTATCTCTCTCTCTCTCTCTCTCAAAAAAAAAAAAAAAAAAAAAGAATATAGTTGACCCTTGAAAGAGAAAGGTTTGAACTGCAAGGGCACACATACATTGATTGCATTTTGTTCCCCCCGGCCCAACTACATTTGGCCATTCATATCCTTGTGCTTTGCATCTGCAGATTCAATCAACTGAGGTTGAAAAACCATATTTTCCTATTTTCAGCTGCAGATTCCCAACCGCATATTCCCAGCCTTAGATAGAAAATACTGTTTTTGTACCATGGTTGGTTTAATCTGTGATGTGAAGGGCAGACTGTAGAGTCAAAGTTATATGCAGACTTTTCACTGAGCTGGGGTCGTGCCCCCACTCCTTGCAATATTCAGGCCCAATTGTACATTTTTTCTAGGTAAAAGATGTGGGGTAAGTCACTTCTCAAGATTCAATTTTCTCTATTTGAAGAAGAATATAATAATATGTATCTCAAGCAGCTGTTCTAAAGATTGACTTTAATCATGTACATAATAGTACTTTACCAACTGTAAAGGGATGTGAAAATGTGGTTTTGCTATGATTTTTACTTATATCTATTTCTTATTTATGAACTAAGCAAAATGTAACTGGCAGAATGGCCTGCTCCCCACAAAATGCCAGCTGCTTTTATTCTTGTGGACTTAAGACTTCCCAAATGTTTATTTCTAGAGATAGAATGGACCAGAGTTTGAGTCCCAATTCTGCCCTCTACTAACAGTATAATCATGGAGTAGTCTCCCTAGGATTTCAATTATTCATCTATAAAAAGAGGAAGAGATGATATTGATTTGAGGTTTAAATTGAAATAATTCAGAGTGCCTATAATATTTACTTATGACCATCATAATTTAATTATTACATTACTAATAGTAGTTGTGTTAAGGATGGCAAATATGCTTTGTAAGGTTCCACTGGGCACCATCTTGTGAAGAGGAATAGGAGATAGGAAGATGCCAGCAATGAGGCAATATTTACTGCAGAGCATGGAAGAAAAGATACAACCCACATGAATACCAACTCCCATCGTAGCCTTCTTCTCATTTCTGTGCCAGCAAAATGATTTCAACTGTGGCTACTCTGGGGCAGAGAGAGAAATTGAAGAGTTCAACTATTTGGTGTCTATATATATATGTATATATACACACACACACATACATTATTTGGTGAAAAAATATATATACATTAATTACTTGGAGAATATATATATATTCTCATAAATAAATTTACATGCAGAGTAAAAAAAAGAATATTTCTTTTGGCATTTGGCGAAAGGCCAGCTGGAAGGACAATCATAAATTGTTTGGTAATATTAAATAATCAGAATGTTCTCTTGTGATATATAACCTAATTAAGATAATGAAAGCTCCCATTCGGTCAATTCCTGTGCCAGGAACTATGCTAGACATTTTATGTGCATTCTTACTAGGCCGTAAAACTCAGTTGAATAGGAACCATTACCTCATTTTATAGGTGAGGAAACGGAGAGATAAAATAAGGTATCAATGAATAAATATCTGAGAAATATTGGTAACAGGATTACCCAAAAAGCCCATGTCCTTTCCACTACAGTGTGATGCCTCCACTGGAAGTTCTCATGTTTTGCTTTGCTATTCCTTTTATAGCAGCAACTATTACTAACTATTCTTCCTCTACTTTTTTATTTTGCTTATACTCCTCCCAAGAAACAGTACATGATAAAATCATAATTATATATATAGATAGATGGATAGATAGAGTGTATACACACACACATACACATACACACACAATCACAGTCTGTAATTTCTAAAATCATCTGGTGGATCTTGCTAGCACATCGTTTGTGCTCTGCTTCTGTCTTGGCCCAGGTGTGCAAAGCAGCTAGTTCACAATAATCTTCCAACCACCAGTGTCATCATGTGCTTTGTGGATGAGGTATGGTCCACTCTCGTGAGGTCTGTTCACAGTGTCCTCAATCGCTCTCCTCCGCACCTCATCAAGGAAATTCTGCTGGTGGATGACTTCAGCACCAAAGGTAAGAAAACCACTCCTGAAAAATCAAAGTTGATATGAAGCCTTAACAGTATGGATGGATGGCAAAATTACAGGGTAGTTTGATAAAGCATAAACATTTTACAAATGCCAACTCATCATTCCATGAGGTGCCTTAGAGGCATAAGTCCATAAACCTATGGAATACAGAAAGTCAGCTCTATCATCCAGGGCCCTGTTCCTTTAACGACCTCAAACTTCCTTTCAACTGTGACTTCTCTGCCATGTAGGAGTGATTTTCTAATTACAACTTTGGAGATGGGCACTTTGAAGTTCCAGAAACCAAAAGATGTTCTATACAGTTGCACAAACATCTTTTTATAAATTCTAATAAGCAAATACCCCCACAATTAATGGGATGCATTTCCTATAACTAAAGTTAGAGTTAGACTCTATGGAAAACAAAGAAATGGAAGGCCTAAAAAACAAAGCAAACAAACAAAACAGAAACAAAATCATAGATACAGAGAACAAATCGATAGTTGCCAGATGGGAGGGGTGTTGGGGTCTGCATGAAAAAGGAGAAGATATTAAGAATTATAAATTGACAGTTATAAAAACAGTCACAGGATGTAAAGTACAGCATAGAGCACATAGTCGATAATATTGTAATAACTATATATAATGCTAGATGGTTACTAGTCTTATCGGGTGATCGCCTCATAAGTTGTATAAATGTCTAATCAATATGTTGCACACTTGAAACTAATATACTATTCTTTGTCAATGGTAATTTTAAAAATTTTCAATTTTAAATCAATTTTTGGAGTTTGATGTCGACGAGGCACTATTTCTGGTATTATCCAGATCTAGTTAATTAAGTATTTTCTTGTCTACTCTTAAACTCTGACATAGATTACCTGAAAGATAATTTGGATAAATACATGTCTCAGTTTCCAAAAGTTCGGATTCTTCGGCTCAGAGAGAGACATGGCTTAATAAGAGCCAGACTAGCAGGAGCACAAAATGCAACAGGTAAGAAGCTGCTAATTTTGTTTTGGTTACATTTTGTTTTAGTTTATTTTTTTCAAATATGCATCAAATGTGAAATAATAGTACAGTGCATACCCATATATCTGTCATTTAATTCCACTGATTTTTAAATTTTTGCTATATGAGCTTCATCACACACTTACACAGACACATGTTTATACACACACATATTTTTTTCTGAACCTTGAAAAGGAATTCACACACCTCATGAAACTACATTCTGAAGAACTGGGATATTCTCTTATATAAGCACAACTTTCATATCTAAATATCACCTAATGTGTGCTGTTTTCAAATTTTCTCATTTGCTCCCAAAATATTTTTACAGCTGTTTTTTTCCCCCCCCCTTTTGAAATTTGAGATTTAATTAAGTTTTGTGTATTGCATTTGGTTGTTTGGTCTCCTTAGTCTCTCAGTGTAGAATAGACAATTCTACATTTGATTTCTTTTAGAGAGTAATTATCACAAAAGATGAAAAATTAGGGTAGTCAAGAACTAATCTAAGAAGGTAACTTTTGAGCTGAAGAACATTCCTAGCAAAGTGAACAAGAAGTACAAATGTCCTAATGCAGAAATACTCTCTGTATATTCAATCTAAAGAAAGAAGTTCATTATTGATAATGGATGCTCATCATGGATAAGTGGTCAGAGATCCATTTGGGGAGAAAGGCAAAAGCAGGCTTTTGTAAAGTTTTATGCATCATTTAAGGAGTATAGGAGTTATTCTTGGTTTAATGTGAAGCCAATGAAGGACATTAAAGAAGAGAGTAAAATTATCTAGTTCACTTTTAAAAGCTCACTCTGGTTACTTGGTAGAGAATGGATATTAAGGAGATGAAAGAGGAAATGGGGAGACCAATTAGAAGGCTATTGTAGTTGTCCAGGCACCAGAAAGATATCAAGGCAGATGGAGGGAGTGGTCAGATCTAGAATATAGTGTAGACATGGAGCTTACAGGACTTGGCATCAGATAAGGTGTGAAGATAGTAATAAGTAAGAATAGTCAGAAAAGAACCCTAGGATTCTAGGAACACTAGGAACAATTTGATGGGTGGTGGGGCCATAACCAGAGTAATAGGTTTGGATTGCAACTGAGTTGTGAGTTTGTCCATGTAAATTTGAGATGAAAATTAGACATCCACAGAGAGAGAGTTGATGAATACAGGGCCAAAAATGTACTACTTATAAAAGAATTTCTCTCTGCTTAGAGAACAAAGCAAGCTAGTCATGATCTCCATAATAGTCTAAACTGTTACATGACATAGGCTACAAATCCAAATGTAAAAAACTAAATTTGTTTCTCAGTCATTATTGGTACCCTGGAGAACATTAGCTCAGTTTTATTTTAGTAACTTTTAAACTATTTTGACCATGAACCATATTATGAAATAAATTTTACATCACAATGCAGTTCATATATAGGCTGTACATATTACAGTAGACATTTCATGAAATAACATGTGCAATGGATTCTAATATCTTTTCTATTTATTATTTTAGATTCTGGTTAATCCCACTAAATTGTTTTAATGACTCAGTAAGGAGTCACAGTTCTCAGTTTGAAAAACCTCAATTAAGTGCATCTTAATTGCTTGCTACTATGTAATGGAGAGTTGTTTCTTAAACTATCATAGAAAGACTTTTGTTTCTTGTTTTCAATTTTTTGTAGACCTACTTTTAGTAAATTATAATAAACATAAATAACCGAAAAAGAAATAGTCAAAGTGATATATACATAATTATATATGCATATACATATCTATATGTGTATATGACATATACATTTTATTATATATAATATATATGCATTTATTTATATATAACAAAAAATATAATAGATATTATATAAATCCACATAAATATGAAATAGTCAATAGACAATAAATTAGTAAATTACGTTAGCAAACTACTATAAAGTTGCAAAACACTTGTTCTCAATTTCTGTTTCTATCTCCCATAGATGGCAGGGTCTATGGCCCACATTTTGAGCAGCATTAGTGAAGGGCTGATGCCTGAGTTTAGAAAGAAGCAGAGAGGTAGGTCAGCATGGGGTTAATAACAACTTTGCCTAAGAATATATCTTACTGCCCTAAAGTGCTCCTGACCCTTGTGGAAAATTCAAGGAAATTAAGGACCCTGCACCAGCGTTAGCTGAGGATATAGTTCAGATACCATTCAGGGACTGGCATTGAGTGGACCTGGCCACCCTTGTTAAGTCCTTCCAACATACCTCCATCCCCACCCCACCCACATTTCCCAGCTCTCACAAGTAGAGCATAGGCAGGAGACTTCTCTAGGTCTGAAGAGTTTCTGTAATCAGAGATCAGCAAAGATACCAGAGCAAAAAATTTTCTCTGGAATGTTTTAGCCAAACAAAGAGATCAATGTAAAGAACCTGAATCCGGACTCTGTCAGGTCTTGACAGCTACTGTTCCATGAAGATTTACATTTCAGGATTCAGATAAAAGGGAAGGGAAGCCATGGGCATGGGCAAAGATAAGATTGGAGATTCCAGGACTTCAGAAATAGAAGTGAAGTGGCCCTATTTTGGCCTGAGGTATTATCAGTCTCTCTGAAAGCCTAAAAGAGTCTTTTACAAAATAATAAGGGCAAAACAGAAACTCTCTGACCACTAGCAATGCCCACAACCCATTTGGGTTCTAGGACATGATAGTCCTTCATCTGAATCTGATTCAGGCAAAAAGATCAGGTTTAATCAGTTATTTACTGGGAATGAAGAGTTAGAGAGGCCAAGGAAGATTTCAAAATGTGAAAGGCAGGCCATGGCAATGGATTTCTAAGGAGAGTCCCCTACATGAAAGCAACAGAAATGAGGAGAGTTGCAATAATTGAGGTAAAAGGGAAAAAGCTGCCCACCTGGATCTTGTGCTGGTATTGAACGGACCCAGTAAATTATTTCCCTGCCAAGAGGAGCCTGCAGTCAGGTGCAGTAGTATACTCTGGAGAGTCAGAGTAGAGATCAGATTCTCATTTCCTTCATGACATGGCCTTTAGCAAAATACTTGACGTTGCTGTTTGCATTCCAAAGAATCAGTTAGCTAACTTTAAGTATGTGGTGAAGAAGTGATATCTAACTCCTGGCCAACTCTGAGGTCTCCTGAAGAGCAACAGTTCTTCTGAAATTACTACAACTTGTTTCTACTGCAGTTAAAACAGGTAGTTTCCTTAGCATCACTTAAAATTATTATGTAAAGTTAAGTCACGAGTCAGGTCCACATTCCTCAAGGAACCCTAAATACTCCAGCACTAGTTGGTGCTGGTAGCAATATCCCAAGCTGGTTGGTGAAATATAAGTGGGGGGTCGGTGCTTAAAAAGGAGCCAAAGCCATTTGGCACATTGAGTGGCTCTGGGTTAGCCAATAAATACACACATACATACATACATACATACATACACACATACATACAAAAATACATAAATAACAAACAATGAAATTCATCTGCAAACAATGCTAGCATTACTGGAACTTACTCTTAGGAAGCAGAGAAACCTACCAGAAGGCAATTAAGATTGAGTTAATTATTCTGAGAGGTAGCTTAAACACTCAAAAAAAAAAAAAAAAAAAAAAAAACCAGAAAATAATACTCGCAATTTATTAAGAATTTAGGTATTAGGTAGATATTAGAAATAGCCTCATAAGTAAAACTCAAAGAAGTTAAAAGTAACTTACTCAATGAGGCTAGGAGTGGCAGAGCTGGGATGAAGGCAGTTCTGTGTAATTTCATTCCTATGTTCGTTTTACCATGCCTTTAAGCCTCTCAGAGTCAGGAACTGTGTAAAATGTCCACAGATGAGATCCAGAACAATTAGAAATACCACCCAGAGTCAGGCACACAGCTCTTTGTTCTGATTCCCAAGATCTTGTTTAAAACTAAAATGTCTGAATGTGGAGCAATGACATTCATGTATGAGAGGATTATCTTCTCTCCTAAAATAAAACAATATAGAATTCCATCCTATGTTTTGGGCAGATGCTACTTCCCTCGGGTTTTGGCAACAAGTAAATGAGAAGGTTTGTGGAGATCTGGGCCAGATGGAAATTAAATGCAAGTTTGGGGAGCCATTCTGCTGCCACTGGGGACTGAGGAAGTCTATCCAGGCCCCCTTGACCCTGCAGTGAGGATAGGGACAGGGTCTAGCAGAGACTGCTCTAAAAACTCTGAGTCCGAATGGACCAGGAGTAGGAATGGTGAGAGGAAAGAGACTGTTGTTTGCACATTCTATACGACAGTCAAGTGGGACCTTAGCAGACCATGCTTACATACTCTACACACCTAGGTGACCCTTGTAAATCTTCCCACGACAGGGGGAGGGCCATGCAAGAGGATATCCTTAGGAGAGAATGACCTTTCATTATCAAACAAGCTACAATTCCTTGAAAATAAGACTCCCAGCATGATCAGGAGATATAACTGCTATCTCCAAGAGCAGAGGACTTGATGGGGGATGCAGGGCTCCTGCCTAGCACAGCCTAATTCCATCTAGTCTTCTCAAGAACACACCCCACCAAGACCTGGGCTAAGATCGGTTCTTTACCTTCATGAGAAATCACCCATGTTGATCAGCATCAGGTAATAAGATACTGAACTTCCTTAATTGACTCATAGTTTACAGGTTTCAGTGGCTAAAGATCCATCATTTAGATATCTATTTTCACCTTGTTCTCTGCATCCTGCTGTTTTCTGCTTTTACTTTAAGCTTTCCCATACACAAAGTTTGCATCTTTCTGGCTTTTTTAAAGAACTCATGCTATGGAATGAACTATTTTCTAATATCAGGCTGCCACTTAGCTGTGTGGCCATAAAAAAATTACCTAAGTTCTTTGTTCCTCAGTTTCCTCACTTCTCAAAGGAGAATAAAAAATAGACTCATACTTTAAGTTTATTGTAAGGATTAAATAAGACAACCACGTAGAATGCTTAGAACAGTGTCTGGCACTTAACAGGTGATAAATGATATTATTATAGGTTTTCCAAGAGCTGAGGGGAGCAGCCAGGTGTCAGAGTGATTACTTAAAACAATAAGCCAAAATGAAAGTACATTCAAGTCTTTAATCATGTACTGCGAGAGTATAAGTAAAGAAGCTAAATAGAATAAAGTAGGGCTCCCCCAGGGCTCCATTTTTTTCCTGTGGAATGGCACTGAGCTGGTGGATCAGAATTATGAATCTCATCATGGAAAGAATCCAGAATAAAATGCTCTTGTTTTATGATCCCAAGGGCAGGATGAGAGAGAAGGCAAGGGCTAGGAGCGGGAAAGTACTAAATACTGAGTCAGAGTGTAGAAAAATGTCTTCACAATCTACCCACCTCCCATAAGGTGAGGCAGAGGTCTTGCTTGGCCTGAGAGAGAGGCCTCCAAATGGAAGAACCAGAGCTAGGAACCCAGAAAATATAACAGCATGTCCAGCTAATGGGGAAGGAAGGCCTGAGTCCTTGACTACAACTCCCTTCAGAGACCACAGTGCACTGTCTCTGCACCAAGTCTGGCATGGGGAGGACAGAGCCTTTGTAATTGCCTGTGGTCAAGCCTGAAAGATTATACCTAGGATTTTGGCCAGGGGTCAAATTTCTCTGTTATTAATCACCCACGCGCGCATGCACGCACACATGCGCACAGACATGCACACACACACACACAAAATCCGTTTGGAACAATGTAGCTGCTACCGAGATTTTCACTGAGAAGAGAGTGTTACTTCACACAACTAATTTTTAAAAAATTATTAATAAATATTTCTGGCCTCCAACTTTTCCTTTTCTTTTTTTCTTCCTCTTGCAACTCTTTTTTATTGTGATAAAATGTACATAAAATTTACCATCTTAACCATTTTTAAGTACGCAGTTCAGTACTGTCAAGTATTTTCACGCTGTATATTTACAACCCATCTCTAGACTCTTTTCATCTTGCAAAAAACTCTATACCCATTAAACAAACTCCCATTCCCCGCCCCCATAACCCTTTTAACATTACCTCCTAGTCTTGCTGGTTTATCCATTTTAATTTGTTTTCATTCCTATTAAATGGAGAAATTTGTCCTCTTCTTTATTGCTAAGGCCAAACTTGGAATTTCAAAATCCTCCTGGTTCTGCTGAACAAAGTCCCAGTCCTCCACCCCTCGAGTTAATGGAACCTACTTCCATAAAAGGGACACAGCAACCATTTCTAATACTAAATATTCCCTTCAGAATCTTAGCTACCATTTAAGTGGCTTATCAGTTTTTTTCCAAATATGAATGATACTCGCAGTACGCAACTGTTAAAAACAAAATTTCTTTTAATTAATTTTAAAGTGAAATTAGAGGGACAAGGAATTCAGTAAAAAGAAAAGACTATTGCTTTGCAACCACACTTCTGTAGCAATCCCTAAGACCTTATATTGCATTTTCAAATGATTTTTCTTTCTGGCTCTCTAGGTGATGTGTTGACATTCTTAGATTCTCATGTGGAATGTAACATTGGTTGGTTGGAACCTCTTCTGGAAAGAGTTTATTTAAGTAGAAAGAAAGTAGCCTGTCCAGTAATTGAAGTCATCAATGATAAGGATATGAGGTAATATCATATTCCACAAGATACTTCTAAGTGAGTCTTTAGGCAGCAGTAGCAGAAAGTACTGGTCATACTCCTAATATGTACATTTTTGCAAACCTAAGAAATTACACAGTTTATCCATTTAAATAAATGGAAATATATGATAGAAATCTTGAGATCAGAGCAGGTCGATCTGTTTATTTGATCATCACAAATTCTTAACCCTTAATACCAATAAATCCTAAAATTCATTGTGCAGTTTTTTCCTCTTTCTATTCAACTGAAACCCAAAATATTTATTTTTCTTAAGATTAGTTGTTCTTTTTGTGGGAAATATATATGCTTATAAGTTGTTGTTTTTTTTTTCTCAAAATGGCCAGAATATTTTTTAAATAAAAGTATAAGTTAAAATAAGCAATAAGGCCAATTAGCCACTAATGCAAATTGTACTCATAAATTTTCTTGAAATGTTATTTAAAAGTTTATGATGATATAAAATCATGTGCATAAGCACTTGTTTTATTTATTTGAACAAGACATGGCATCGGGTCAATTAAGAATACACGTTATGATCTCAGGTAACGCTTTTGTTTTTTTCCTGGATTAGTTATATGACAGTGGACAACTTTCAAAGAGGCATCTTTGTGTGGCCCATGAACTTTGGTTGGAGAACAATTCCTCCAGATGTTGTTGCAAAAAACAGAATTAAAGAAACTGATATAATAAGGTAAGTGTGTGAAATTTAAGGTTAAGAAGCAGTCATGTATCTTTTTATAAAGGCATAGGAAGCGATTTCGCAAAACAAGTATATCCTGTCACTTGATAGAACATCAAGAATTACAGTTGTAGCTAAGAGATGACCAAAAGCAAACAAAGTTTTCCCGAGAAATTATTTTCCCGCTACCAAAACTCATTTTTACATGGTTGTTGCACTCTATTCAGCTCTGAATGTAGAGAAATTCACTAACACAATTTCTGTTCTCTGGGATTTATAACCTAAGAAATACTAAGCCAGTTGAATGTGCTGTATAAATGCTATATAAACACACATTATATCAAAGTCAACATGAATAAAAATTAAGAGAGTAAATAACAGTAATAGAAGTATCATTATAATAATAATAGCTACTATTAGGATTTTCTTTTTGAATCTAGTCTTATCCCTCCCATGGGAGAGTGCCAACTTCTATGAATAAATTAATAAATAGACACAGAAGCTGGAAATGAATTAAAATCGGGGCTTTATTGCTGAGAAAGCTGGACTGAAGAACACAGCTTAGCCCTAAGTGGAAGTAGAGGCTTCTAACACTTCCCCCAGAATGAGACCTGCAGGACAAGCAGGCAGCCAACCTCAGCCAGAATGGCAGGAGTCCTGAGCTTCCCATGTTGGAGAGAGAACTTATGAAGACTCAAGCCATCAAATTCCGAGAGAAAGCCCTAGCCCTGTGCATTGCAGCTGCTTTCTATGAATTTACCCCTCAATAAAGCAGCCTCATCCCTTGCAGGAGTGATGCTTTCAGAACTGAGACTGCTAGCTGGTGAACTCGGATTACTGTCATTTATTAAGCACTACACGTTTAACCCTCTCTATAACCCAAGGAGAAAAGTGGTAGTATTCCCATTATAAAGATGAGGAAATTGAAGCTTAAAAGAGTTAAGTAATTTTCCCAGGGAGATCAGCTGGTAAAAATAGAAATTGGGATTCAAACCCAGGTCTGCCTGAAGTTAACACTCTTGCTCTGATACTGCACCTAAAGATACTCTTTGCCTTTTTCAGACTCCCATTTTGAAGATCATTGTAGTAATTGAGTTCAGATTATATTCAGTGTAAATTTAGGAAGAGAATGAATTCTAGATAGTCTGGGAAGGACATTTGGGGAAAAAAATAGAATATGTACATAAATGGTGGGGGAAGGGAGGTGGGCGTAGGGCAGGAATTACTTCACCCTTGAGATTGTTATAGACCCTAT